GTAGCGCCAGTCAGTCCACAGTCCAGAAAAAAAAGGAGTAGAGCTGCCCCGTGGGCTTGTCAATAATCCCTCCATGGTCCGTGCATACTTATTGGATTATTATAAATCCAAAGTGGCAGAAAGGGGAAAATGACTCACAACCGCACCTCGTCCTCTCAGCCGCCAGGAGGCTGCTTTGCCGGGAGTAGAGCATGCGTCAGCTCCGGGAGACTTGGCTACCCAAAGTTAGCAGTTAGCTTGAATTAAACCAGTGCAAACCCAAGCACCAGGGGTCTGAACCCGGGGGACCGCCCCGTCTACAAACGTTCTGTTGCTGGCGTTACAGACGTTAGACCAACCCACTGGGACTCCAGACACAAGGGTTTCTGCTGACGGGATGTGGGTTGCTGCAGCCTCATGAAAACGAGGACGAGATGAAAGTGCGGGTTGTTTTCCTCATTTCTGCCGCATTGGATTTGTTCCAATAAACACAGTATCAAAGTGCAAATGGACCGAATAGCCCAGAGGTAGTGAAAGTAACTCACATATGGCGGACAGCAGTTTTATTTCGACCAGCTCTCAGAGTTTCAGCAGTTTAGTTGAATTCTATATGTTCCACAGTGCAGCACAAATAGCATTACCACTCTACTTGATAGGACGGTTAAGGTCATTACTGTGAATCAGATGAATAACGTACTGAATAAATAAACTTTATGTAGTTGACAGACGAGCTAGAATGAGGGCAAGTACTGGAGTCATAAAAGTGAGCTACATTAACACAGACAGAAAATGTGATCGCTGTCGTGTTGAAATGTAGCTTCTCTATGGGATGAGGCATTTAAATGTTTGTTAAAAAAAACAAGGTGCGCTGCAAGTCTGCTGTGCACATAAGAACAGTTTTTGGTTGCGGTTTGGATTCAAGCCAACAAACTAGCCTGAGGGAGCATTCAGACAGAGGATTATTTCCAAACACGTTGCACATTCATTTTCATTGTTGTCTGTGAAGCAGTGTGTCTAGAGGCTTAGCAAATGCATTGAGTAGGTGTACCCAAACTAATAACATTTAATCTGCATGATGCACAGGCAGAGCACCCTGTAATTGTCCAGCCAACTTCAAAGGGCTTAAAAAGGACATTGGCACAATGGAGCAGCTTTTATAACCTTCCGCCTGAATGCTACCCAAACTAAGCGAACCTCTAGACTATTTTTTATGGTAGATGAAATAACATGTACTTAATGGCAACCTAAACATCCGTCCGAGTACAACGTTCCAGGTTCCTTTTTCACAGTCAGCTTGAGATATTGCTTCTGGTAAATTGTGAGCGTGACCTTTCTCTAAGTTTATTTGTCAGTGATCACAAATAGTGACTGGTCTGCGACTATCATGTTTTGGCAGAGCGCACAGCTCCATAGTAAAGAGGGAAAGGAGCACATGTAAACACATGCAACATGTGTTTTTTCAGTGCACCTGTATCACTTATTCCTACGTGCTTATGAACTATTGCCGCACTTCTCCTTCATCCCTCACATATAGAGTAATATTATGTTCTTCTAAGGTTTCAGACTGAAAACATAATCATCTGATAACAAGTTTGTTTAGAAATGTGGCTTGGATGGAATAAAGGAAAGCATATGCTTAAAATTCAACAGTTATAATAGAGTTAGGGGTTTATTCTTATGATATAAAATAAATATTCTGCTGTGACATTGAGGAAAGTATTGGATGCAAAATTGATGCAGATTACAACGTATAAAAAGCAAAAACATCATGACTATTCCTGTCACATACAGTACAGAGTAACTTCTACTTATTGAAATGCAAAAAATGATATTGCAGCTTTACAAACAGAACTGAGGCACAGTAGAACTACTGAACTCCATATACCAAAGATCCTACTGCAGTTTGAAACTACCTGCTTTTTATTAATTATTTATTAAGACATCTTTGTAAATGCTTGAGTAAAGTATGTTCAAGGTCACTGCACCCATCACACTGTAGGTTTCCTCTTATACTTTCTGTGTACTGTATATAGCTGATGTTAATGTCTGACAAACAATGCCCCGATGTATCGTGACACTCTCCCACCTAAAGTTAATGACATTTTATGATCGATGACATCTTATCTGTTTACCCATGATGCACTAAGCCATCATTCACCAAATTATTCAACGATGACAAGGGGCCGACTATCAGTAGCGTGGCAGACATCATTCATATCTGTAACATCTTCTAATTAAAAGACATCACTTCTGCCAGACAGTTGCCTCACTGCTAGCTGAAGCAAATTGATTCTCAACCCCCTTCTAGTCTATGCAAAGGAGGAATGAATAATGCATGGACATTAAAGTCTTATCTTCTGTCATGACAAACAACGTTGGCCCGCTTTGAATATTCCACAAAGGTGTGCAAAAGGTCCTTATTAGAAGAGTAGTCAAGACAGGTGCCGTTTTCATGGGGAGTCAGTCTGCATTTATTGCTGCTCGCTTCCAAGCCGCACCGTAATTCTGGACACACTGGATCAACTGATTTACTTTATGATGGTGCTCAGTTTACGACGGCGCTTAAGGTATTTGCATTGTTTTTTTTTTTTTATAGCTGCCACTCACAGATTATGCTGGCAATGAACTGAAAAACTATAACTTTGCAATGCATTTCTGCCACAGGCACCTTGACCGTGGTCTACGGGGCCAAATCAATCCACAGATTTCTGTCCATGTTGCTCCGCTGCACTGCTGGTCTCCTGGCTAAACCTACATCGACATGTTCAAGGTTATGACTCAAGTCATCATTGACGACGCAGAGATGATGTGAGCAGCTGTGCACCGGGTCTCTCATACAACAACAAATAGAACAAAAAACAAAGATGTAGCTCTAACTGTCTGTTACCTTATATCACTGTTTGATATGTGAAAGAAGAGAAATAAAATAGATTGGCCACGCTCAGTAAAAGTGATTGACTGGTGTTTTTCACTGAATTCAATAACATAATAAAAGGTAATGCTTTCCCTATTAGCCTTTATTTCCAAACGTGAATCTTACAAATGATGTTAGACGGTATTCTTGGCATTAGGGCAGGATGCATAACGCCACACTGATCTGGTGATAAATCGCATGTTGGTGAGCATAGATGCTGAACCCCAGTATGATGAGTATCTTGGTTTGCGTGTCTGGCTCAGATCTTTTTTCTTAGGGCCACACAACTAGTGACAATGTTTTGACAATTCCAGGTCTCTGTCCTTTTTTAAGGCTTCATCTTCATCGCATCATGACTGTGTTATGTCCCTTGGTTGATGAATGTATGTATGCAACTCTCTTGAGAAGGTGAATTTGTGACCTTTTTTTTTTTCTCAGCTGCCTCACAGGCACACTGAGGGCCTGTCTTTGAAGCACCAAAGCATGTAGCAGAGTGAAGTAGGATGAACGATGATTGCAGTGAAGAAGACACCAACTGACAACCAAATTGACCTCCAAGTATGTAAAGTGCTCCAAATCAGAATTGAGTGAACTGAGGTGAAATGGCTTTGAGTGCTCCGGTAGTGTGCATGGGATTTTTGAGTGATACTGAGTTGTTGACAAAGACATTAGAGTACAATACTACTTCATTGAATCTTTTTGAGTAATACTTTATGGAAATGGGAAGAAGATGTATAAGAGAGGAGGAGTAAGACAGGTTGAAATAAACTCATTAAATATCCCATTTCCTCATGAGGAGTTAAGCTGAAAGTATGCAAAAAAAAAAAGATCAGAAAAATGAAGAGGAAGTATTTGGGAGCTAGAAGAACTTAACTCTTCAATGAAATGCAGCTCTCCGCAGATTGGCTGGCGTTACTTTATTTTCAGGATTTGCCCGAAGGGGTTTGCTCCCACACATTCACGTACGATGTGTAGAATACCAGACAAGATGATTCACTTTCTCCCGTGACTTTGTCTGCTCGAAGAAATGCTTCAAATACAAAGCACTGATGAGTTGAAGGTTGATTATGAATTCTCTCCCACTGCTAAATGTGTCAAGCCAGCCAAATGTCAGAATGTATTCCGTCAGAGGATATTGAGCCGACTGAAAATGTCAGACGGAGAGGAACTGGGAAAGAGAGCTTTGAGGAGGAAACAAAAGGAGGGAACTGGTCCATATGTTTTGGGGTAACTCAGACGTAGCAGAGAACCTGTCATATTATAATAAGGGGGGGGGGGGGTTTGGTTTGAACTACTGTCTCGCATTAGTCATGACCTGCTTCCTTTGGCACCAACTGCATGTTGAGCGCCTTTATCCGTCTACCCAAGAGAGCTAAACAACAAGACCGACATTACAGTTGCCAACAATCTGGAGTTCAAAGTAAGTAATCCATTTGTGAGGTTTTAAACTCTATATAACATACACTGTGTAAATTGATCAAGATTGTAACTTTATAATGAGCCCTGTTTCCAAGGAAACACAACTGACTGATTTCAAATGTAAACACAATCAAAACTTAAATAGACTTCTTATTTTTCTTTCATGGGGCACATAAGGTTTGTACATTTTCAGAGCGGTGTTGTAGGTTTCATCAGGGGTGAAAGTAGGTCGGTCAATCTGGTACTTCGTACCACTAAGACATTGTGAAAGCTTCAAAGTGAGTAAGAGATCAATGTGAAGGGAATTTAAGGTTTAAAATGAACACACATGGAAGAGATTTCTGTTGTTTCTTTACGTTATAGTTACCCTTCGTGTTACAGTGTAATCACGATTATTGCATTTCTGTCCGAGTGATTTATATAGTGAAAGATGATTTGTCACATTGTTTATGGACTAATATGACAGGAGCAATGAACTTCAACGCATGTAATAAACACATCAGGCAATATTACATGCATTGACTAAGAATAGGCAAATCAGAATTTCAGTTCTGCCACATCTTATCCATGCTTTCTGACACAATGGAAAATGTGGGCACAAAAAAGGCCAGATGCTGCCTAATCCTTCAAACTTAGAAAACGTTTTGTAATGGCAAAAAACATGTTACTAACAAAACGTTGGACTCACCCAAGGCTGTGTAAAACTCGTCTTTTGTCAGGTGCTCGTCGTCATCGACGTCGTTGTACTTCAGCAGGTCAAACAGTGTGCACTCGGAGATATCCTTGGACAGACCTTCTTGCTTGATGACCTTCGAGGAGATTGCATCGATGTTCAGTTAAAGTCAGTGGGCAGTGCTCGTAGGTGTGATTGAAAAATACAACAATGTCGCCGGGATCAACCCCGTGTTGCACAATAACAAAAATGATGCTTAAATCTTTGAATTTCATTTGTCTACAGCCCAAATATCGGATAGCAATACAATATCAAACATTTCTAATAACTCCAGAGCGTAATAAAGTTCAATACCCAAAATGTATCGAAAAAAAAAAAATGGACAACATGTTTTTACACAATGAAATATTCTGCTTCAATCCATATTTGTTGGCGTTTGGCCTTTTGAAAACAACATTTTCGCTGCTGTCCAAAAACTGTTTGCTTTCCTGCTTGCCGCACACAAAGGGAGGCACGAGTTATATTCATCAAAGAAAGTTGATTTCATAAAAAAGAAGACTAAATTATTCAATCCGATTAATCACTTTATTCAAATTGAAGATTTTCTCAGCGGATTCCTTTTTTTTTAGGCTGATGACATGAAATACGATGAAAGACATTTGAAATTAATTTGAAAACCTCAACAGAAGCTTCAAATGTATAAAGTAAATTATATTCTGTATAACCTTAAATATCTCAAAATTATACCAAAGAACAGCACTCAAGTGAATGTACTTACTGTGTGTACTCACTTAACATACTGTTAAAAGTTTGGATATAAAATCGGTTATAAGTCGACGTGCCCAATCTGAACTCACACAGTTTTAGCTGTCAGTTTATTGTAGCCAAACTGAAGTTTTGTCACAATGGATGGAGAAAAGGTCCCAAACACTGTGCAGATTTGATCACCAGGCTGCTAAAGCATGGTCCTACTCATCCCCTTCTACATGGCCCCGGCAGCGAAACATCCATCACAGCAGATCAGCTGTCAAAATGCTGATCACGAGGGACGGTTTTATACATCGTGCCTCGTCCATCGGATCACCGCTCTTCCCTTCCCGGATGACTTGCCCCAAAATGTAGGAGTCACCAGTAATGGCATATCCTTAGCGTATAGAAGCACAACACATAACAAGTAACTGTAGCGTACAGAAGAAAGCAGCTGCTTGAGTCTTTGGGATATTGAATCATTTGATCGCATCTGCCAAATGTTGAGTCTTTTTCCTCTTTTCATCTTTAAAGTATTTTCTGAAGTAATTTATTTGATCTAAACCAAACAGAAATTGATCTTGTAATAACCTCAAAATGCTATGCAGATTCTTCAGTTCAAAAGGTATTGAAATTCAAAGATATGCTCGCCACTTTACTCCTTTCTTGCTTGCTTTGACTTGGAGTAATGTCCTTTGAGAGATTTGTAAGTGGTGTTGGAGTTGTTTGCTTTCAGGTTTTAACTCTGTTTCTTAAACATTTTCTGACATGACATTGCTCTCACACACGTATACTTTTGGTTACTCTAAATATTTGCAGTCACTTCTCCTGTACAGACTGTTCAACCCCAGTAAAAGAGGACCACGGGCATCCTCACTAGCTTTCAGCAGACCCCTGTGAGCTAAATGAACTGATACACATCATCGATGGGATAACCAGCTGTAATGTTTGTTGAGAATGCAGCTTCTGCCTGTTTCAAATCAAACTTTAATTTACAGACTATTTCGGTAATTACACTTGACCTATTTTGGTAGCACTGCAGGTGTATTATATGTATTATAGCCACACGTGAACGTATGTAGTTGAACACAGTACTAGGATACTAAGTTTAGTTTTAGTCTGGTCAACCTCTAAGACACATGTTTGTCTCTTTCCCTTTTTCACTCCATATTTGTTTTTACCATCACATTCAACACACTTTTTCCATTAACAATGTTCTAAAATTATGTTTGTCTCCTCCTTAACCAACTTTTCTTTTCATCTTCCTGCAGACAAATTAAGATACCGAATTAAACCTGCGTCAAACCTCCACATGAATTTGCTAAAAGCCCACGCATTAGTAAGAGGATGTTGAAGGGTCTACTCTAGTGCATTTTCAAAGATTTGCACATTGATTATACTTATTTTGGTCAAGACGAAGATTTAATTTGCTCCAGTCTTATTCTCAAAGTGTGAGCAGAGGGTAAACTGTTCTCAAACCTTTTGTTTTCTAAGGTGTAATTTCAGGCATTGTGTCTTTAGTCGAATTCAGGGCAATGCAAGAAGAAAAAAGAAAGTTTTGATTTGCCATTTCAAAAGGGCACCCAAGACTAAAGGGGGCAGGAACAATTGCTCCCGGTGCCCCTTCATGTGTACACTCTATCAAGTCAAGTCAGCCAGGGTGAGGGATTTCCATCCTAAACTTTCAAATGAGATCAGAAAACACTCCAATTATGAAGTGCGCCTCAGGGCACGAGGGTGGCAGCCATGGTTTGGTACTTTGAACTGCTGATAAAGGTGTGAATTGCTTGTGCAATGCTCCTTTTGAGGGCTTGTTCACTCCAAAATTGAATTTGCATAAATCCCTTGTCTTCTTTAACGTTCACCTTTTGTCAATAAGGCAAAATTCTGCAGTCCAAGCCACTGAGGTTAATGGCATGCAGATCTAAGTGAATCTGAACCTTTATATATATTGCGTATGATATTTCAAACTCACATCTTTTGGAGAGAAAAGAAAGCTGTGTCCTGTCGAGCTATTAATTACTTTGAAATTACATTCAGTGAGAACATTTAATACAGCAACATAGAAACTCATTAAACACCTAATCCATAATTACATTCAGGTGCCCGTATGTTTGAGGCACTGTTAACCCACAACTGCTTCCGTTTATTAAGTCATTTGTCAGATTGATGAAGCTATTTCACTCTGATATTTATCGTGCAATAATCGATTATGCAGCAATGTTGATACGAGGTGAAAGTATGCAGAAGCTCAAAACTTTTCTCAACATTTTCAGGCTATAGATATGTGTAAATAAAAAGGTGTCCTGTAATCTCACACAGATATGTGTACCGGAAAGTCGGAGGAGGCCATAAATGTATTTATGCATTAAAAAAAAAAAAAAAAACACCTTCGGATTTAGTTGAAAACCCCATAAAGACCACCTGCAATCCACTATTATTTAAATTTATGACTATTCCAGGAATACTCGCTTCTCTTCTTTTCTCTGAGCATGTGTAGCTGATAGTATATGAAATCTGCCAACATTCACATATTTTTCTGGGATAAAAGGGGATGAGGGCGAAAAGCAGCCCTTGAGGAACTCCACAAAAGAGCTTCTCCATCTGGATGTGAAGTATTACTGACTAGCTTGTGTAATTCACACAGAGAGGTGGAGTGGTACAGCTTGGCCTCAAGTAGAATAAATGGCATCACCAAGAGGTTTGAAAATCCAAAGTAATATCCAATAGCTTTAAAGGGCATATTCAAGTTCACATTCAGAGCATGCTGGCAATATTATTCCACAAACACAGCGCAACATGGTTTGTTGACCGTGCATTTTACTCACTAAACATTGATGTCTCTCATGCTTGAACTGGGCACCGGGTAAATGTAAAAACATGTAAAACTATGTAAATGATATGAAAATATGGCAAAGAAAATCACTATTTTTGAAGTGTTATTTGGAGGCTTTGAACTCAAAAAGACTAAAATATATTCAAATGAATCTAATGAGACCTCCCCCGTTGGGCGAAGGGGCACTGACAAAGACAGCCAAGGTGACCCAAGTGCAGATGGGATACTGGATCAGCAGGAAACTGACCTAAGAATAGCAACTGGTTTCATGTTTCTGAAAACCACCGCAGGTTGCTTACCCTTTCAATAATTTAAACACTTTCTATTTAAAATCAGTCCTCAGGTACCGGGAGGCTTTGTTATGCACATAATATCTTCCTTCCTTGTATAGCAGTCACAAAAACTGCTTTTTTTACAACCATCCCTCTTGGCAGCGCTGGTCAAAGGCTGCAGCCTCCCATGAGCACAAGGCTCCTTTGACCCACATTGCTTTTCAAAAGATGTACCTAAAGCCACGCAGCACAGCTACCAGAGGGAAGGGTAAGACGAGTAAAATTGACACAGTTACTTGTATGGAAGCGATCAAAGTGTCAAAGTTTAAACTCCTGAGCACACAGGTGGTGTTTGTTCATTTCTAGCCTCTATTTTCTGCGCCGTGGTCGTACCTGCTGCTGTGGCGCTGCCTGACATCCACTGCTACTACGATTATTAGTCACATTTCTATTACTGCTTTCATTACCATTATCATTCTATTATATCCACTGCTGCTGTTGTTAATCATGATTCTGCTATTATTAGTGCTACTACTGCTATAACTACCCTCATTACATGAATCATTTATTTCATATAGATCGACTATGTTGTAATTCTGTTATGTTGTTCATTCTGCGCACGTGACATCTATTGCACTTCTGTCCATCTTGGGAGAGGGATCCCTCTTCTGATGCTCTCCCTGAGGTTTCTTCCTGTTTCCCCCCCATTAAAGTGGAAATAAAGTATGTCGCATGTTGTAAAGCATTTCTGAGGCAAATTTGTGATCTGTGATATTTGCTATACAAATGAATTGAGCTGAATTGCATTTTCGAAATAAAACTGACTGTGGTTTGAACAGACTTGAAGGGTGGTGTGGAGTGTCTTGAGACAAGTGCAAAAATAATATTTATCTTATTCTCTCAACATCAATGTTAGTTGTTGATATTTACATCTATGACATTTATGTTGTTGTTTTCAAAAGCAGATATATAATTGTGTATTAAAGTTCATCTTTGGATCAGTATCCTTACCTGTGAGAGCTCGCTGGCATCTATTTGACCGTTGTTATCTGCATCAAAGCGCCCGAACATCATATCAACCAGTTGCTTCCTGACAGCCATGTTATCCTTGTGGGCCCCGTGGATGTTAGACCCCATGTATGGTTTGTCATGCAAATCCAAAATCTTGGTTTTCAGCCGTCGGTAGTCAGTCAGTCTGCAGTTATCATCTGGGAGAGAAAGATAAAAGGAGAGGCAGAGTGGTTAGGAGAGGGAGAGAATATTTCTAATAAACGTGTCAATCACTACTGTTTTTGTTTTGATTACTAAATTATTTAAATGTTAACGGGCCGTCTACAAACAGATATTTAATAAATACCTCAATGACTCCCAGGTGCTGAAAAAAGCATGATTAAAAGTATTGAACTTGTAATTTTTTTAATTGGATGCCATGTTTCAAGTGTCAGGCAATTAGTACCTTTGAAAACTACAATTTCCCAGAAGACTCATGTTATTAAACAATAATGTTCATATTTAGCAAAACCCAAATCTGAGCATGTCCATGATTGTTTAAATCACAATAAGAAATGCTAAGGGTTATTTTCCCCGAGGGGAGCACAAACAGTGTCAGTCGTGCAGCAGCCCCTTCACCGCGAAGAAAGTGACGAGAAAATCCATAACACAAGAGCTAACCCTGACAGCTACACAAAACACGATGGTGTTGTATTTACAATCCGCCATCAAAGGCTCCAGATGAAAGGAGTCAACTACATGAAAGGTTCAGCAGGGTAGAGAAAATAATGACTAGAACTACAGGTTGACACATGTCATATCGACTTCTCATTGTTGGATCTGGAAGTGTTCCTCCTCTAATAACAGTTATATTAGCGGATGTCAACCAACCCACAAGAAAAACTTTGTTGTTCACTGTGATGCTTTTCAAATCTCAGGGGAGGGAGGAGGCATCGCTGCCACACTGTGCATACCTACTCAGGACGAATATGGAATAATAGCTGCCACGCATGGTGTCTTCTGCGAGACAAATGAACTTTGTTGGAAGTGATCGGACGAGAATGATTTAGTGAGACTATTAACGAGATCTCCACTCGGTAGAACCGGGTGCTGGCTTAGAGCTTGTGACTAGTTAAGCAGAATCAGAATCACCCAAGAGACCATTAGCTGATGTGTAGGATCTTGTTTCTCTTATAATTTTCTTCCAGCATTCCTTCAGCGAAACAACTTGAGCGATCAGTGAGTATTCGAATGAGATGCTTAATCCTGACGCCAACCATCACTGGGGCACAAGATGCTGAGAGAAGCTCTCCTAACACTCTGTCTCAGTGGAAGCCCATTGATTTACCAACAATCGAGCCATTTTCATCTCAATTCTGTGGGACCTTGGGAAGTCCAAAGGTGTAATCTGCATTGCCTGGCATTGAAGTATTTAGTATTGTGACTGAGAAAGGTGTGAGATGCAACAGCCTTTCTTTGGTTTAAAGCCCAAGAAATAGAGGAAACATTGGTGGATCTTCTTATATTCTACCATATACAGACTTAGTGTAAACAAAAGACCTGACTGTAAATTAAACTGATTAGAGATGATTTAGTGAGCTTCTTAGTTCTGCATGAACAAATCCAATTTTTTAGAGGAAGACTGAAAAAAACTTCCCAAAATCTTTCAGCAACAGATAATAAATAAAATAGAAGATAAATGAATAACTGAATAAAAGAAAAACCTGAATAAATGAGTGGAGAAACATGATGATTGCAAATGCCTCCACACACGAGGTCACCGAATGGTTTGACGCGTGTGAGAATGATGTGAATCATATGCGACGGCCTTTTGCAGTCACCAACTCTCAATCCAGTTGTACACTAATGGGAGATTTGTACCAAGGTGTTAGAAAATGCTCTTTGCCAGATTAAAAGATCAGCCCATATGTTTTAGAAGATTGTTGGTAATTATTTTAGTAGACGGAGTAGTAGAGACTTGTAGAATACATGGCAGTAGCACTGAAGCTGGTCTGGTATCGTTAGGATTTTATCGATAATACTACTCTTACTGATACTACTCATCGGTTTGGTTCTTTATCAATACTATTATTGGTTATTTTTCTTCACCTTATAATTGCTATAATACATTATTTAAAAAAAGAATACATTGTGAACTGGATTAAAATGTATTAATGTTTTAAATATAAATAAATTAGTTGTTTAGACCGGCGACAGTAATGTTTACAACCGCAAAGTCGATATATATAAAAGTTTAGAAAAAAACTTCATCAGGGGTTAATATTAAATTAGTGAAAGCCTGTATTCAAGCAGTAATAAAGGAGTGTATGTTGAAGTATATGGGATTCATTGTTTTGATTTTTCTTTTAGATTTTCGTATCAACTTCGAGAATCATGTAATTCCACCTGTATCGGTATAAACTACTGCATTTCTAGTATTGTGACATCCCTAGTTAATAAAGCTAGCTAGCAAAGCCTCAGATGTCCGTGTCACATTGCAGTGATGCTGCTGCTCGCACACATTCACCAACATACTAACGTACGGAAATTGAGAAAAAAAACAGCAACAGTCACCTTCAAAATGAAATGTAATGCAGCTGTATTCCGTGCATGATGTACACTTATTTATGTTTTATTCCTAATTTCCCATTGACATCCCGCGGGACAGTCGGCGACAGCCAAAGGGCCGGGTATGGCCCGAGGGCTGTATAATGCCCAGGTCTGGTCTACACCGTGGCCTCACTGCTCTGCTGTTCACTGACTTCACTCTGTGTGTGTGTGTGTGTATGTGTGTGTGTGTGTGTGTGGAGATCAGCCATAACAAAACCGTCAAACTTATCAATACTACGTCTTTTAATAATTTAGCATCAGTGCACGTTTAATACTGGATTACAACACCCATCAATACATTCTGTTTTGGTTTTTCCTTCCTATCTTGTGTTTTTACGTCGTCTCAGTTGTTTCTGGGCTGTAGAAATGTGATCCGAAGTGGAAACCTCTTCTTGCAATGCTTTCTTTTCTAATAACTTGGAAAACTGAATAATTGAGAGCTCACATAGCCAAGTGGAGAGCAGGAGCTCAGCAACAACGCTTCAGTTTGTTTTAGCAGGTAAGCTTGTCGGTAAGAGACAAACTGCGTTGTTGACAGATGTTGGAGCTGCATGCTCCATCAAGCTTCATGAAACTAGCGAGTCTGAACAACAACAGAGGCGGTTATTAAGCTCGTCTTCTCTACTAGTCACTGCAGATAGCTTACCAACAGGAGGATCTGTTGAATTACAAAATTTGTTTTGGCAGCTGAAACCGTGAGAGAGGCTGGTGAATGCAACCAGCGAGTTAAATTCTTGCCGTTGAAACTGCATCGGCTGTTAGAGCGCAGGCCATCCAGACTGCAGCATGCTGCATATCATGGGACAGGCTCTGTTTTGACAAGCGTCGGCGCCAGAGAAGCTGCCTTGGTCACAAATGGCAGAATGAATAAAAGATAAATGGCTGCTGGCATAACCAGGGGATATGAAGGTCAGCGACGTCAAAGGAGCACGCACTGGCACATGCACGGGCACACACATACAAGTGTACACAAACACACTTGTACACATCCCCAAATATCCAAACAGTCTACAAAGGGAATAGTCAGCATTAATTAGACAATGGCTACAATAATCTCTCTCAAATTAACTGAACCAACCTTAGTCAAAAGAGGCCTTTAGGGAACTGGTTACAGCTCTCTTTAAGGAATCTATTGTATTTTTCTGCCCAATCAAGATGAACAGATGTGATTCTCGGTCTTGTAAAACCCAGCCTAGGGTTGTATAGTCAGTCTCATCCACCCAAGTTGTTTTTGAGCTATGTGGGACACACTTTTTGACAAACTTTTTGACAAACTAAGGCTGTCTTTAAATGTTGATGGTTTGAATCTTCAGTCGAGAAGCCTTCGAAGACGTTGGCCGTAAACCACAACAGACTTCCTTCCCTCCCTCCCGTCCCTCTCTTTTCTTTTTCTGTCATCTCTTTACTGTCACATTTAATAAAAGGTATTAACTGCATGAGTGAAACACCTTTTTTTTAATATTGAGTGCATATGTTTGAATGAAACATGCAGTGAACGTCAACTCACGTCCCCACAAAAACGCATTTAAAAGAATCTAACTTCTGCAACGGATGGTTTGCAAGTTTGTTATTTCAACTGTGAAAGAAAGCAGAACATCTGGCAGTTGCTAACTTTATATGTGTTTGCCTCATGCATGTCAAGGTGTGAAAGACAAATCCTTAAATAAGTGTGTTTCCTGCATCTGTTAGTTTTCATCCAGATTCACTACAAGCTGCTCTCCAAAGAGCAAGAATCCTTCAACCTCAAGAAAATTGGCTGGAATTTAAATTTTTGTTTTTCATGGTGGTTTTCCCCATGGTAATAACGATGGTAGGTCGATTTCCATTCAATCATGGACAGTCACAAATGTATGTGTTTTTGAATTACGGTACCTAAATGACAAAATATGAACAAATCCTTTTGTGTCCCCGTGCAATTTTAGACATTTTCTTTCAGAGTCTTCCGAAGTATTCTCACACATACTAATGACAACACGGCCCTTTTTATTCAACATCCAATTACAAGCTGAGTAAACACTGTTCAAGGAGAGGTGGCAGTGTTGTAATAGAAGCATCAACTGTAAGACCCCCACCGGAACGCTTTATTACAATGCTGCTTTTGTCAACATTATTCATGAATGAAACGCATGACATTTTCCAGGGGCAAAAGGTTCTGTAGAAAGCAGCTGATATAACAAAATTGGGTGGCAAAGAGTCAGGCCGTGAAACTTTTTAATCCACTCACAGGAGCTTTTATACACTCAATATTTCACCATCACTCTCGCTGTACTTTGGAATAGTATCTTTTCAAAGTGGCTGTTAATCTGTCAACGTGCCTTTTAGTCAAAATGTAGTGGTATTTTAATGGTAGGCGGCATTATTGTTTTAACACTGTTTCGTAACAGCACATGGACACAAGGACACAGACTGGTCGTTTGGCTTCAGCTGCTCAATGACCTCGCTTGTGACAAATGTCCCTGGTCACATAGGCTCCTTATGTGGCAAGTGGCTGGCCAGGTTCCACCAAGCAAATCCATAGCCTCTTATTAATTGCCTTGAACTCTTCACATAATGCGGAGGTCAAGTGCCCACCTGGATGGAAGTACATGTCATGAGTGAGAGGACTCAT